CGCTTTTGGACCAAGTTTCTTATCCATACAGAAGAAGTGAAATACATAACATTGGTATTGAAATTGTTGATAGACGATATTAGATAGTTGGAGACAAAATACCCACGACAGTCCTACAGGAGGTCAATCGCGAGCCCGAATAGCTCAGCGGTAACGTCTTTGACTGCAGCACTGGGTGACACGGGGTTCGAACCTCAGAAGGGACATGAGTCCCTTCAAGGTTGCAGATATGCCTTGCTGACGAGTGCCAACTAGCACGAAACCTAGGTCAAGCATGGCTTCCTACTGATTGCCTCCAACCATCTAATATCATCAAATCAATGTACACCGTGATGGCGAGCTACCTAGAATAGTGGCCACATTGCAAACCTGACTGAGAGAATTCAGTCTGCACCAAAGACACATCCCATTAGTTACTAGTATCCACTCACAAAAATACTCTAGTTGAAGCCTAAAAAGTGCTCTTAAAAGTCTAAATATTTTCCAAAGTCAAATTATATCGTAAAAACACGTAGATCTAAACTATAAGGTACTCACCATATTAACTGATTTCTTTATCTTGGTAGATCTTATGGGATGACAGTAGATATTGAAGAATTTAAATTGCAAACTGGCAGAAGTTGTCAATCATAAGACGTTGAATCCCTGTAAATTAAGTAAATGTTAACGTTATCATCGCGTATCCTAACGGTCCTATGACATATGTGAGTGCATTACATAAGAGTGTCACATTAGAACAAAGCAACTATCCGGTGCCATCTGATTCTTTATTAAATTTTTTTTAAAAAAGGTTAAAATTTGTCGGAAAACAGGAGATTATTGCCACTAATCATTATGGCTCCTAAAAGGAAAAACAATGCCATCTGCCCAAAAACCACCATTAACAGAGACGAACATACACTTATAGCAGCTTTTATGTATTCTCTATCTATGCACTAATGAAGTAAAAGAAAAACTAATCCGCATAAAATGTCGCCAACTTGACGACACTTAAACCTTTTGAAAACAGTAATAATAATATTTACAGCTTTAAAATATGATTTCTGGTGAACGAATACCCCTAGGGGAAAACAATTAGTTCAGAGAAGAAAAAAAATAACCAACAAACTAATAAACACAAAAACACACTCTTTAAATCCCTACCATCAATTGAGAAAAGATGAAGACAATCAGATGCATCAAAGAAGAAGAAGAACTTCGTCCAAAAGCGCAGTTGTCGACAAATCATGAATAATCCCCACCCAGGCATTAATGAAAATAAAATCAAGTACCTCATTCAGTAAAGTCTCTTTTACGTGAACTCATTTCCTTTAGCTGCACACAAACGCATTTATATACAATTTTCAACGCAGCTAAGCTCCGCTATATATTCACACTAGCCAACCAATACTTAGTTCAAGAAATTAAGACAGACTGGCCTGTTCCGCCTTTTCCATATGTAGTTTTACCAGTTTAACTGCTCGTGCGGAGCTAGTTACATTGGGTGTATGATCAGGTGAATTTATTGTCGAATTCCTGAACACCTCCTATCTTGGTTTGGCAAAGGTCCGAATAAAGCAGCTATACGCAGTTCAATACTAGCTCATCTCATCGATACTGACTGGACATCAAGTTGGCTCTAACAAAGCTTTTAAAGTTATTTATCGTACATCAACCAACCTCTCGACGCATTCTCTACGAGTACGACTTTCGCATACAGCAGAGGCAATCGGAATTCATCTGAACAAGCCAAATCTGTGTATGCATTCAAGAAAAAAAAATTTGTACAGCCCCTTTCTTTGCCATGGCCCACTACATAATATGAATTAAGTTTTTTAAAATAATTTTTCCGTTCCCCTAGTAACCACCTTTTGATTTAGTTATTGTTTTACAATTCTAGCCAATTGTATCAACTTGTTTGTGTTTTACATATTTCTTATGAATCATCGTTTTCTTCTTAGTCATCATTGCTACTTTACAAATTTCTTGATTATGTAATAACTTGTTGCTAACGCCTAAGAATCAACTTATCTTGAATTCAGGAAGTAATTAATTTTCGCCCTTTCCCCCTTTAAAACTTAGATATCTTGTTATTTGTTTTGATGACCTTTAACCTCTTAATTCCACGGCCCCCATACCTAAAACTGATTAACTAGAATAACCACTTGATTTGTAAAAACAATTTTGATGTGAAAAAAACCATATGTGTTAGTGTAGAGTCAGTCAGGCGATGATGAGGAACTAATTGAAAAAGAATGCATATTTCTTCGCTTAATTTGTTGTTTTTTCTAAATGCGTAAACGGGAGTTCGGAAATCACTCAAGAAATCACTAAAATTATCAAAGCTTTTTGTATTCCTTAGGATTGTAAATCCTAATATATTCTGTGATGAAGACTCTAGTCACAGATTAGTTTACCTTCCTATTAACCGACAGGGTCATCTGAATCTTCCATGAAAGAGGGTAGTAACCGAAATTATGAGTTGAATAAGTGCGTTGGATTCACGCAATAAGACGGATTAGTTTAATGGATGAGTTGTAATCAAGATTCACACAGAAACGAAGGAAAATGTGATACTATGTAGACATTGGATAAAAAAGAAATACAAAAGTTATAAAACAAACAAAATCAAGTTGGTGGCAGAAAACAACAAGACTGTTACCATGATAATAGAAGTGGCTCTCTCTCTATAAGGAGTGCAATAATTGAGCACCTACCTTATCATCAGTGATTATTCTATGTCAACAAATCCACCCTCCAAAGTAATCTAAATAAGTGAAGCGCAATCTACTAATGACAATATACCTTCGTTAAGTTAATTCACAGAGTGATAGCAACCAGAGAATCGCTGTAAACCAGGGGATACAGGATATCTGTTTCGTCCTAGTTTCGGACTCGTCATCAGTACGCACACACCGTCTTCCGGTTACAAGCCAAGCTCGTAGGCCATTCAGTCACTGGGATCCGATTAAATGTCCCATCAATTTTAACTTTTACCAATTCATGATTTTTGCGAGACTATCCGCCAATGTCACCAGCGAGTATGTGGTTATGACTTCTCCCCGAGACTCCTTCCAGGCAACTTCGTCCTGTAGCCAGTCACTAGCAAGCATCAGATTAATTTTTAAGAGTCGGGTCCCAGTGGCTGACTGAATGATCTACGACCTTCCCTTGTAATCGCAAGGTCCTGGGTTCGAATCATGGTGGTGGGTGTGTACTTCCGACGACTCCCAAACTGGGACGAAATAGTTAGCTGGACAGTAATCCCTACTGGCTTTCAATGGTCCTCTAAATGATATCATGTCGCAAAACCTTGTATCAGATCGCCGCGCCTGGGCAGCGATGATTCGAGATGTTCATGAAGACGGCTCATCCTCCCGTAGGAAATAGCCGAAGTAAAGTAAGTAAGTAAATGATATCAGTCCACGGGCAAATTTGAAACGAATCAAATTCTTGCAAACTAACTTTTGTGACTTAATTTCGTTTGTTTGCTTATTAACTCATTGTAACTCTTGCATTTCTTCACAAACTTACATAATCTCATATTTGCCTTCGTTTCTATGTGCTTCCTGATTAAAATTCATTAATTGAATTATTCCTCTTATTAAGTAATTCTAATACACCTGTTCAATTCTTCTTATGTATGGGTTAATACTTCTTTTTATTCCTTTACGTTCCCAGTGGAGCATAGGGCTTCAAGCTAGAGCTTTGAAGTTGCTGTGGTAGTGGTGTTTAATTTTACGGGATGAGGTCGCTAGCCTCATGCCCAACCTTCCCTCTTTACCAGTCTTCTTACTGGCTTAGCGACCGTAAAGGAATGCGTCGTCGGTCGTGGATCGAACCCTGGGGATCACATGAAGCGTGATCGGTGAGTATTCTACCGTTGTGTCACTGACGCACATAGATCAATGCAATTGGGCATGATTATGATAACTCATCATCAATTTTGTGATTACTGTCTTTCATGTAAAATTGTGCACAAATATGAATGTACAGATAAAGTTGAAAATGAATCTGACAAAAAGAAGAACGTCTTCGTTGACCACTGATGTTTGGATGTTTTAATGTTCTCAGACAAGTAATTCACACTTCAGCGAGGCTCAGATGAACACTCCATAACTTTATCCGACTATCGACCAAAGCACGAGTGTACTGCTCAGCGCAGCAGTTCGCTCCGTCCTCCTTTATGGCTGTGAGACCTGGCCATTGAGAGTGGAAGACATGAAAAGATTAACTGTCTTTGATCATAGGTGCCTGCGCTATATCTCCCGCGTGAATTGGTATAATAAGGTGAGCAATATTGAGGTTAGGCGTCGAAATCTAGGTAAGGAGGGGAAATCAATCAATCGACGAGGCTGTGAAATTGCATCGAAAGAGATGGTGTTACGAGTGCCTAGTCATCGCATTCTTAGACGGGCAATGTTAGCTGACATTGGAAGGATCAGGCTGGAAAGGAGCTAGCAGGGGTCAAACTAAAACATGACTTCATCAGTCAATGAAATCCACAACAGTTAGTTTAAGCCAGCCAGCCACGTAGGAAGGTGTAGACTTCCTGACTGGTTGGGATCTTCGAGACGGTAAAAACCAATGAAGGCTGGAGACAATTGGTGATATGGCTCAAACTCATCGTTCTCGATGACTGGCGCAGATGCATCCACTCCTTGTCACTCATGATTCCCAATGAAATTATATTGTTCTTCGTTATTACTATTTCTTTGTCTCACACTTCTGTTTACTGTCTCTATTATGCATTTCTTCTACTTTCTTCTCTTGCTTTGTGTGCTAAAAGTAGTGGAGTGTGGCGACTTGAACTGCCTCACATTGGTGCAAAGTTCTATGTCGAAAACAGACAAACAGACAGGCCATAACTTTATACTTAGTTTAGTCCGATCACACCTTTAGCTTTTTTTCCTTCCAACTTCATTCTATTTCAACTGACCCCACGTTTTTCAAAGAAGGTAGATAAACTTGGTATGGGCAACATAAATATGCACAAATTATAAATAAATAAATTATCTTACCTGTAAAAGGATATAAAGCAGTACAATCACCAATAACAACAATTTGTGATGATTCTTTTGCGGATGAATTCTTATCTCGATTATGATTATTACTACTGCTATTACTATGATAACTAATAGACAGTGTAGAGCTTGTATCAGTATTATCTGGTGCTCGAGATGATCGATGTTGTTGTTGCTGGTGGTGTTGTTGTTGTTGTAACGACAGTTCCTTCTGCTGCTGTTGACCACCTTCTTGTTGTAAAAGCCAAAGCCTTTGTTGTTCATGCCTTTTCAACATGCTTTTATGTTGATCATATAAAATTTGATGAGAGCTCTTCCCCTCTGAATGTTGTTGTTGATGATGATTGTAGGAAGAATTCATGTGTGAATACATGAATGTATGAGCAGCCTTAGAATCAATATCATTATGATTAGAATCATTTACACAATTATTGGGAGCATTACCATTCACTGAATGATATTTAGTGTTATTATTAGATTTAACAGTTGCTAAACTTTGTTTCACTGAAGGCAGTAGTATTTGACCATTTAAAGAAGATGATGTCGACGTCGGTCGAGATGAAGTCGACGAAGTCACTGTAGAAGCTGTTTCTGGTTCTGCTAAAGGTGCACTCGTTGACTTGCCTTCATTTTTTGAATATTTCCCATTGGTATCATTACTATTATCATTTGCTACTGATGTTTTTGCCATTGCTGCAAAATAATGCAACGGGATTGACAGCTTATCTTTACTTGATGAAGTCAGGCCCTGACTATCGAAAGACGGTAATGATGATATATTAGCAGCATTAACTGGTGTTATATCAGAAAGAGAAGGCGGATACTGATATGGAATTGAATTCGGTAGGCCATTTAATACAGAGGTCGTTGCATAAGCTACGTTTTCATTATTATTGCTATTATTATTAGTATTAGGTAGTGAGTTAATTTGTATTGCTGTTGACGGTGTTACTTCTCCCGGTGGTTGAATCGGTTGGCTATGGACTTCATCATTCTCGAAATCAGAACAAGAATCAGAAAAATCACTTGTATCAATGACAATATTATCTCTAGATCTAGATTTATGTCCACCTGGTTTATATTCACTGAATTTCATTGAAACGATAGAAAATGACAAAAATAGAAAAAAAATTAAACTGAGAAAAGGAATTAATTAGTAACGTCTAACAGAAAAATCAATATACATATATTTTGATTATATACACTAAGTGGTATCATGTGTAGACTGAATTTTATCAGTCATTTGTGCAATATGGCCACTATGCCAATACTAGGTTGCTCGGCATCTCAGTGAACTATGAACTGTTGTTATTAATAGTTTATTGTTATTATTATTGTTTACTTTATTTTCTAGAGGAACATACGGCTTCAGCCGCATGTCTCCATTACGTCCGCATCTCCGCCAACGTTTTCATCACTTGGCTCCACGTCTGCCCACATGCTTTCATCTCCCCTTCACATGACCTCCTCCATGTCACCCTTGCACTGATGACCAACTCACCGCTTCCCTTTCGGGTTCCACTCGAGAGCCTGTCTTGTGATATCACTACTCACTTGATGGTTTGTTTTCTCAGAGTATGGCGGCCAATCCAACTCCATTTCTTCCTGAATATTTGTTGCACAATCGGTTCCTGCAGCGTTGGTTTACTCCCAGAGATCCCTGTCGCTGATCTTTTCTGCCCATCTGATCATGAGAAGTATTGAGCGAAGACAGCTGTTGATGAAAGTCTGTAGTTTGTTTGAAGTGCCTCGCGTGGTTGGAGACAATCGGCAGAAAGACGTATCTGCAATCTTGAAGGAAATCATGTCTCTTGTGAAATTCGAACTCGTGTCACCCAGTGATAGAGTAAGAGGCGTTGCCCCTGAGCTATCCGGGTTCGCGGTTAGCCTGCTGAGGAGTGTATTAGATACTTTGAGTGGACACTAGTGCCATATGTCTAGTTTAGAAAAATCAATATTATCTCTAAAAAGGAATATGAGCAATAATATGGCTTTTTACGAAAAAAACAAAATACTGTCCAATTTCTATATAAACAGTTTCAATCAATTTGAAATAATTCGACAGATGATGGCTAGCAGTGAAATCTAGGATGTGCTAAATTTCCTCCTATTTAGGACTCGTTGGTCGTCAGCTGAATGTACTTACACTCCCCCCCCCAGTGAGTCAATGATGGTATTCCCACTATGGGACTCGAACCCACTACAGTACCCATCGTTTCAAATGCCGGACTGTGTTATCCAATCGGGTCACGACAGCTAACACCACCACCACCTCTTGTGCAACGGATGGGGGCGATATGTCAGTTATTATTTTTATTTTTATGAATTCAGTTTTGATTTTCCTCTGCATAACTAGAGGTCATCATATCACAACAGAAGTTGAACATTTTGGTCCAACCAAACAATCAATACGAAAATATAAAAATGAAACTGGACAAATACTTTCAATCAAATATTTTTGTCTACGCCTTAAACTGACGTAGAATTATCAAAATATAGTATTTAATTATCATGATTATTGCAAAATGTCTAAATTTTGTGGACTATTTATAAAACGCCCATTGACATATTTCAGACTAGAAAGAATATACGTTGGGTTGTTTTATTGTTGGGGTGGATGGGTGTTACTGTGGGATAACACTCCTGAGAAATGTAACCATGATGAATTCGATAAACAGTTGAAAGTGTCATCAACTTACTACTACTACTTAGTAAATAGCAAAATTCGTTTACACTGGGTGGCTATGAGTGGTGGTATGCAATGCGAGAAGTCTGACGATACTATACAGCTGCCTAGATCAAAGTAAGGTAGAGCAGTCTTCGAAAAAGGCGATCTCTACTAAACTATTGTTATGGTCATGTATACCTCCACCGATGGAATAATGAAGAGCTGATAGTGACCAACATCATTTCCAGTCGTACAGTCAACCACGACGATAGGGTTTTCGATAATAAATCAATCGATATGAATATTTGTCAGAGATGTGAATACTACACATATGATTTCCTAAAAACAGTAAATATTTGGGTTAAAACGAATAATATGTAGTTATTTTCATTGATTGGATTCCAGGATGCACATTTCCACAGATTTGAGACTCGTCATCTGGATGGATCTGCACATTCCCCAGTGAGCGATGGTGTTTCTCTCATTGAGATCACAACCTTGGATCAGTCGTTTCAAACGTCAAAGCATTATCCACTACACGACAACAGCCAACTCTTCTGGTAACGAGTATCGAGTATTATTTGTTTTTAAGTTTGACCACGGAATGATTTCAGTTAGAGGACCATCATTGAAAACTAGCAGGGTGTACTAGACAACTAGGTGTTTCATCCTGGTTTTTTCTGAACTCACTAATCGGCAGCATGCACCCACCACCAGAGTTCAAACCTAGTATGTGGTCAAACTTGACTCGTATTTGCAGAAGTTAGAATTCATAGGCCATTGAATTGGGTCTCAGTGGCTGAATGAATGGTTTACGAGCTTGACTTGCAACCGTTCGTACTTCCGATGACTCCCAAACTGGGACAAAACGGCCAGCTGTCTAGTACTCCCTACTGGTTTTCAATGGTGGTTCTCTAACTGATATCAACCCATGATCAAAATATTAAGTTTGTATTTCATTTCATTGTAGTATTTGTATTTGTATTTCATTTGAGTCAAATGTAGTCCAATGTTTTACAGATAACAAAAATCAATAAAAATGTTTTCTTGAATCCGAATACTTGATATTTTCTTCTGTTTTCAGTGTTACGCTAATTATTAACAATATTCAAACAATAACACCTGTGAAGGGAACTTACAGTAATATCACCACTTGAAGTCATTCCTCTAGCATATTTATTAGGACGAACAAAATATTATTCATACTTTATTCATCAAAGAAAACTATCTTTTCTAGTTATTTTGCCACGATAATTGAAAACCAAGAAGCTGTAAGATGGTTGTTTCGTTCCAGTTCATGACTCTTCAGTAATACACACCCGCAACGACCCCATCATGAAGCGAATACTAAAGGTTGCCCGCTAATTAGTCACTTGAGTCAAGATCTAATAACCCATAACTTCTAGCCTTGGTCAACTCGTGATATAGTGCTACCCTCAACTAGTGCATTAGTTGGTCACCCATTATTCCCTCGGGTTCCGAGTAGAGCAAATGGCTTTACAATAGCACACCCTCACTCTATTCTTCACAGTCCTATTTCGCTGGACTCATGATCACCCACTACTCACACGTTCTCCTCCATGCCATCCTCGGACCGACGGCCAACTCATCATTGTCATATTTAACGGTCTCCTCTCAGTGTGCGTGTGTGTGTCCACCAACCCATCTCCGTTTTCTTCATCACATTTGTTGAACAATAGGTTCTAGATTGGTTCGTTTCTAGTTCTTTTTGGCCAGCCATCTGTTCTTCAGTGTCGACGCAATGAAGACAGACATTGATGAGAGTCAGCAACCTATTTTAAAATACTTCTGTTTATGTGGCAACTCTCTGGACTCAAATAGAAGCACCGACTAGCTGGACATTATTTTTGTAGATTCTACTTAGTGTAGCACATTTCCGAACTGATTACAAAGTGATTAAGAATCTATCAAGCCTTTTAGATCCTGGCCTACTTCGACATACTCATCCATCTGTGTCGTCTGCATGTAGTTTAAACGATTCAGTCTAGATCAGTGAAAGACGTGACCTCTTTCAGATTCCTGCCTCTCGAATAAACGAAATCAATGCTCTCTCTGTTAGACCAGCATAATCTGACTGACTAGTTAAAGTCATGTATAGTTAGGTAGTAAGTAGTATATTTAGTATTGTAAGAAAAAAAAGTTAACTCACACTCGAACTTACTCCATTCACTGGAAATATGAGAGATAGGTTGAATATAGGTGTATTGTGTTTAACCTTATTCATCAATGATATAACAAATCAACACCACAGAGTATTTCACTCTATCGAAACGACAAAGGAGTATGAATGTGATTTGAAGCTAATAATACACAAGGCAAGGCAGACAACTTTATTATCCTAAAGTCGTAGTCGAAATTCATCTATGCAGACATACTGATAACACTAATATTGTTCCCGAATGTACTTAATCTTCCTTTCTGTTTCACGCATGCCTATTGAACTCTTATTGATTTTTATTCGCATCTCTAATCAGTCTTTTACTGGATTTCATCATGAGCTGACATTGGTTAGAGAACCATTAGAAAACCTGGGAGTACTGGACAGCCTGCTGTTTCGTCCTCCTCCCTTGGGACTCCTTATCAGTTCACACCCACCACCACGGTTCGAACCCAGGACCTTCTAGTTACACAGAAAGCTAGTAGACCATTAAGCCACTGGGACCGATTCTGCCAATTCATTACATAGCGACCGCTAGTCAGTGTCTTCGATGAGTATTTGTCCTCACACCCGACATTGGCCAGCAGTCTCTCTATGTCGTGAATTGGCAGAAGTTAGAATTCATGGGCTGACTATTGGATCGGGTCCCAGTGGCTTAATGGTCTATGAATTCTCCTTGTAACTAGAAGATCCTGGGTTCGAACCTTGTCGGTGGGTGAGAACTGATGAAGAGTCCCAAACCAGGTTGATGAAACACCTGTTTGCAGTATTCCCACGTTTTTCAATGGTTCTGTAACCGAAATGAAATCCTGTAATTAAATTAATTAAATCACTGCAAACCAATACTTGAATATCAATCCTTTACTCTTCCAACGAAGCAAAAAAGTTATGTGGGTAACCTTTATATGAATATGAGCAATAAAGTGTACTAGGAACGTCATCAGTAAACATTACTGTATAACACTGTGTGATTTTATCAAAATAAAATTTCACCCATAATGGAATTATACTCTACCAAAGTGCACAAGTTTAATCTTTATATTAATCGATGTAGATCCTTGGGATATTCGGAGTTGATTCATGGTTTTGTTTCAAGATCAGTGCCATCTCGTTCAGTCGTTCTGATTAGTTAGGCTACTAAGCTCAAAGAACGACTTTATCAGAAATGTTCATGTTACTGCTGCAAAACATTTATCATTATTATGAATCAGTTTGTAGGAATTTTATTTATTTCAATT